AGGCGTCCCGGCTCTAGGCAAGCCAATTTATTTTTGATAATACTTTTATAATTCTATTCATATTAACAAATGCTCTGTGAATGTGAGACCCACGACAAGTTTTCATGCTTGAGAAAAGCTGGTAATAAATCAAGTAATCAAAAATAACTGTATCTGGCATATCTATTTTATTGGCGAATTGCAAGGTGGTTAAGATCAGACTGTACTAAAACGGTACCCCATAAGCAGTGAGTGGTTTGGATAATGAATTCATTTGCCTGCAGTTTTATATTCCATGTCTCTGAGGTTCTGCCGTATGATTAGAAATGATACAAAAAAAGAGACCAGAGGCGCTTTTTAAAAAAGAGGCAACTGGACTTTCTGATTTTTCTTGGAAGATGTTTTGCTTCTCATCCAAGAAACTTCTTCACTGGACAGTCTAGCAAGATCAGGGGCATCAAATTCAAGGCTTAGATCTGGCTAGTGGTAGAATTCAGTTTTTTTTTACTATTGGTTCTGTGACTTGATGGGCGTGGCAGGGGAAGGATACTGCAAAACCTCCATTCCCTCCCCACTCCTGGGGGAAGGATATTGCAAAATCTCCATTCCCACCCCACCCTGGGGCCAGCCAGAGGTGGTATTTGCTGGTTCTCCAAACTACTCAAAATTTCCGCTACTGGTTCTCCAGAACCTGTCAGAACCTGCTGAATTTCACCCCTGGATCTGGCCCATGGGACCAATCAGAGGGGACTCTGCCAGCCCCCGAGCTCCATTTTCGCTGGCAGAGGGCTGCGGGAGGCCCACGTAGTTGAAAATGGGGCCTGGGGGGGGGCCTATGCACAGCCTCCTCGAGCTCCGTTTTCGCTGGCAGAGGGCTAGCAAAACAAACTAAAAACAAAACAAAAGGAGAAATGTTTCCCCTTTTGTATTTGAGCATGCAAGAAGGGACAGGAAAGGAGAAAGGGAAAGAGGAAAGACAAAGGAAAAGAAGGAAAGATGGGAAGAGAGCAAGGAAGGAAAAAGAAGGAAAGAGGAGAAGGAAGAAGAATGAAGAGGGAAGGAAAAAGAAGGATGGAAGGAAGGAAGGAAGGAAGGAAGGAAGGAAGGAAGGAAGGAAGGAAGGATAATGAGAGTGAAGGAGGGTCTGAGGGAAGTCCTGCCTTAGTATTTGGCCACCACAGGTGCCCCTCACACGAGTGATGTCGAGCTGGCCACGCATACCCTACCCACGCCCACCCTGGCCACGCCCACCCCGGTTCCCCGAGGTCAAACACAACCCTGATGCGGCCCTCAATGAAATTGAGTTTGACGTCCCTGAGCTAGATCATGTGTGTTTATCACGGATATTAATGAGCCCTGAAGTAAGCATGTTTCTTTTTCTTTCTTGCAAAAATGGCAGAAAAACCACATAAACTTTCACTGTTCGCGGTGACTTGTTTGCGAATTCAAACTGCGGACTCCGATTAATCGAAAACAAGCCCATTTCAAATAGCGGTTTGTAAAGACGGCTTGCGTAAGCCACGGTTTGTGTTCACCACAGTTCGGGGGCTGAGACACGTCATATAACCAGTGGCTTATGAATTGTTCCCCTCGAGTACAAGAAGGAGAATGTTATGAGGCTGGAAAGAGGCATAATTTAAATGTCGCCTGTGAATGCACCACTGTGTTCACAATCCGTGAGTTAATTTAAGCGGGAGAGCTGCTCCGTTTCCCAAATTTTTCAGATGGGGAAAAGATTAATACAAACATATTGCAAGCTGCCAGATGACTAAAAGAAGTGAAGAATTAAACAGAGGATGTAGGCAAAGCCTCTTCTTGCTTGGCGTCTGGGTCAACCTTTGTTGAGGTTAATCAACCTGACAGGTTCCTTCATCCTCATTCTCAGACAATGAATTAACGTTCTCTCCATGACTACCGCTAACCACTGTTTGGCTTCAAGTCTTTGCAAAGAGGCTTTCAAAAGGGAACTTGGCCGGCATGAAAGCCTGACTAGTAGTTTTCCATTCTCCAAGAGATTGAGAGCCGATCAGGACAAATCATGCACCCGGAGAATACTGCATCCAGTTTTGGTCACCACACTATAAAAAAGATGTTGAGACTCTAGAAAAAGTGCAGAGAAGAGCAACCAGGATGATTAGCGGATTGGAGCAGTGGTGGGTTGCCCCCGGTTCGGACTGGTTCGCAAGAACCGATAGTAAAACCGGCAGGAGGCCCCGCCCACTGCCCTGGATGTTGTCATCGGCGATCTGCGCATGCACAGAAGCTTCTGCGCATGAGCAAAGCAAGCGAGTGCATGCAATCCCGTTGGGAACTGGTAGTAAAGGTAAGTAGAACCCACCCCTGGACTGGAGGCTATAACATATGAAGAATGGTTGCAGGAACTGGGCATGGCTAGTCTAGTGAAGAGAAGGACCAGGGGAGACATGATAGCAGGGTTCCAATATTTGAGGGGCTGCCACAGAGAGGAAGGGGTCAAGCTATTTTCCAAGTTACCTGAAGCCGAGAGAAGGAATAATGGATGGAATAGAATAACAGAGTGGGAAGGGACCTTGGAGGTCTTCTAGTCCAACCCCCTGCTTAGGCAGGAAACCCTACACCACTTCAGACAAATGGTTATCCAATCTCTTCTTAAAAACTTCCAGTGTTGGAGCATTCACAACTTCTGCAGGCAAGTTGTTCCACTGATTAATTGTTCTAACTGTCAGGACATTTGTTCTTAGCTCTAGGTTGCTTCTCTCCTTGATTAGTTTCCACCCATTGCTTCTTGTCCTGCCCTCAGGTGCTTTGGAGAATAGCTTGACTCCCTCTTCTTTGTGGCAATCCCTGAGATATTGGAACACTGCTATCATGTCTCCCCTAGTCCTTCTTTTCATTAAACTAGACATACCCAATTCCTGCATGGAAACTGGTCAAGTTGCATTAACAGAGGGACACAATCAAGATCAAGTGAGGTGCCACTCTGTAAAGCCTTAGTAAGATCACACCTAGAATACGGCATCCAGTTTTGGTCACCACATTACAAAAAAGATGTTGAGACTCTAGAAAAAGTGCAGAGAAGAGCAACAATGATGATTAGGGGACTGGAGGCTAAAACATATGAAGAACAGTTGCAGGAACGCGGCATGGCTAGTCTAGTGAAGAGAAGGACCAGGGGAGATATGATAGCGGTGTTCCAATATTTGAGGGGCTGCCACAGAGAGGAAGGGGTCAAGCTATTTTCCAAGGCCAGACAAGGAATGGAACCTGATCAAGGAGAGATTCAACCTAGAAATAAGGAGAAATTTTCTGACAGTGAGAACAATCAACCAATGGAACAGCTTGTCTTCGGAAGTTGTGGGAGCTTCATCACTGGAGGTGTTCAAGAAGAGATTGGACTGCCATTTGTCAGAAATGGTATAGGGTCTCCCACTTGGGCAGGAGTTTGGACTAGATGACCTACAAGGTCCCTTCCAACTCTGTTAATCTATTAAATCTGTTAAAGCAGTTGCTTTGGGGAGTCCACTTGGATCCGGTTTTTTAATCCCACATTTTGCTAGCCCCAAACGGCTGAGAATTTACCGAACCCTGAACTGACGAAGCCTTAGTTCAGGTCCCTTAAGTTTTTTTTTTTTTTGGTTAGCTGCCATCGAAGCTAATACACAAGTAACTTAACCCTTGTGTGAATTGTAAACCCACCGTTACTGGACTCCCTTTACTACAGCCGTAATGGACCACATACAGAGGGCTCAGAATGGGAAAAGGAAATCGTCACAGTTTTTAACGCAGGAAAGAAAATCCAAACCTGTTATTGAGTGGCAGCCATCTCATTACAGAAACTGAAAGTTTCCCAGATCAACCTCATTGACCACACTCCGGGAGGAAAACATTTTCTGGCATTTTGACAACATCTTTTGCCTCCTTTGACAGCAGAGCCAACACACTGCCAGGGCATGAAAGAAAAGCACCAGCAAGCGCTATCCAATTATACCTATATATGTAGTTTCATTCTACAAATTGGAGCTCAGCGGCTTGGTGGCTCGTATTCAGAATGCCACGGGAGGAGAATTTACGGCTTTGCAAACCTACAGAATTATTGGATCTCTCTCTCTCTCTCTCTTTTAAAACTGCTACTCATTTGGCAAGCATCACCAAAGATAATAAAAAAAAAAAAAAATTGCAGGTGCATTTGAGCGTAAACAGCAAAAGACTCCGTTGCTGGGATGGGGAAGGAGATACTGTTCAGGCTCATCAAGAAATGACTAATCCCTTCACTGGTGTGGTTTTGAATCCATTGGAGGGGAAAATCAACAAAACAAGGATTCTACAGATTCTATGGAATTCACAGATGGTCTTCAGAAAGTTAAGCCCAAAATCAGCTGGCCAGAAATTTTAGGTATTTTTTAACTGGATGTGAATGGAGAATGGAGGAACACAGGATTGTGGGGTCCTTGGCATTCTCTGAGTTTGGTTGTTTTCTTGCAAACGTTTCATTACCGAACTAGCTAACATCATCAGTGCTATGATGTTACCTAGTTGGGTAATGAAATATCTGCAAGAAAACAACCAAGCTCAGAGACCACCAAGGATCCCTCATTTCAACCCTGAGCTACAAATATTCTCCTTTATTGGTACAATCATCATCATCCTCTTTTAACCACCCTATAATCCCTTGCGGGGTGGAGTCTGGGCAACTAAATGGAACTGAGTGTTTACTGGCCAGATGCCCTTCCTGTTGCCAATGCGGAGGTTTTTTTCCCCAGCAGATATATTTTCATTGTGCCCAGAGAGAGAAATATCTGCCTCTACCTAGGATCGAACTCACAGCCTCCTGATTGTGAGGTGAGGGCTCCACCTCTAGGCCACTGCCCCATTCTTGATTGGTACAATATATACATGTAATAACTGCATGCAAGAAACAAATACATGAATTAACCGATTAAGAGATTCCCTTCAGTAGAACAAGAGCAAGGGATTCATGAACGAGAGGTTCATTTTAATAACTTTTAGGTGCAAATTGGGACAGACGTGATAATAGATGCTACCTGAGTGCTGGCTACATTGGTTCCATCGGTGACTTCCACTGTCATGTTGTACATCGACCTCTGCTCTGCGTCCAAGGGTTTTGCGACGACAATCGTCCCCACACCTTTGTCCGCTTCGAAAGAGCTCTCGAAATTCCCCCCTAGTTGTCGTTACAACAGAAAGTACAATTACCATTCACAGAATGTTTTGGAGTCGAGACAATAAAATACCCAAGGCAACAGGCGCAGACCAGTTTATGTGCTGATTTACAAAGAGGCACTGCACAAAACCCGCCCTTATCATCCTTGTTCTACTCTAATTTTTTTCCCCTCTTTCAGGCATCGTTTCTATATTTCAAAACAGCGCAACAAGGGACAGGGGAGGAGGGGAGGAGAAAAATAATAACCAATATTGCGGACAAAAGATTCAGCAATGCATCCATGCAGGCTGTAGATTGTACACCCTTGTTAATATGAAAGCTACATCTTCGTTGCGTGTGCCTTTGGGGATCAAGATTTGAGCATCGTTTTCATGTCACACGATCTGTTCGGCACCAGCAGGGCCACAGACGTGTCTTTAACAAGAGTTGACTCCTTTAATTAACAGTCCTCTTCATGAAAGAAATACCATTTCTCATAGAAAGCGACTTTAAACCAAGTTGGATAATTAGCCCGAAATGTCTAGATTAACAGGACTGGCTACCCAGTCAAGAACTTTCCACATTTCCACCTCCCCACGTTACATGTCAAATTTACCTAGGGCGACTTAGCACCGATCCCACGACTTTCTGTTTGGCGTGCGTTAGGATCACCGAACACACAAAGGAAGTCTAATGCACACAACCCCCTCGCCCCCCGTCTTCGTGGCAGTCTATTTGAAAGCAAATCTTGGTTTTCTTTCAATTAGTGGGCGCATAAGTGCTTCCCATGCGTTAAAAAAAAAGCCTCCATTGATCTAAGAGAGAGAGAGAGAGAGTGTGTGTGTGATTCGCCTGATTGGCAAAAAAGAGCTTTCTCCTGGAGATACAGGAGTGAAAAATCTTTAGGGAAATGTGTCAAACTCTCAGAAAAGCGGGAAGAGCGAATATCATATATGTTTGTCGAAAGGGGGAAGTGCTGACGGCTGTCCTTAGCTTATTTCTTATATATGATTAGAAACATACAAAAGCTGATGGCAGAAAAAGACCTAGTGTTCCATTGGGTCAACCCTGAGTTTATTTATTTATTTTTATATTTTATTTATATTTACTTTAAAAAAAAATTGGAGAAAAATGTAATATTAAATTTTGTAAATAGAAATAGAACGCATCATGAATATGTTAAAGCATCCGGCTGTTCAGTTTTAAATGGGAGGAGTGTCAGGGTGATGAGGATTTAAAGCTGACCAGCCGCTGTAAGGCTGTGGACCAGGATGATGGACTGAGGATGAGTCCGCAGGGTTATTGCCACTTTAAGAAGCTGTCTATATAAGGGAGGCAATGAGCGGGCGTCTCTCTCTCTCTCTCTCTCTCTCGTGTATCTCTCTCCTCGTCGTGTTCTATCTGCACTGTAGTTCTCTGTGTAGAGTTGAAGATTGATTGCTTGCCTGGTATGTGCCTACCACGTGTATGTATGTATATAGAAATCTTGTATATAAACCACTGTTTGTAAAACAAACTTCTGTGTCCTGCATTTTGCTCCTGGGTTGTCTCAAACTAGTAGTCACGCTGTAAACACTCTGACAGGATGGACATGTGCTTATCCCCAAGCATGTTTAAAACTCCATAATTGACAATTTAATCCACTACCTCTGCTGGAAATTCATTCCGAGCTTCCACTACTCCGTCTGTGAAGTCATACTTTCTAACATGACTTTTGAACTTCCCTCCTAAGAGCCGCTGTGACGCAGTGGTTGGAATGCAGTACTGCAGGCTACTTCTGCTGCCTGCCGGCTGCCTGCAATTTGGCAGTTCGAATCTCACCAGGCTCAAGGTTGACTCAGCCTTCCATCCTTCAGAGGTCGGTAAAATGAGGACCCGGATTATTGGGGGGGGGGCAATAGGCTAACACTGTAAACTGCTTAGAGAGGGCTGTAAAAGCCCTATGAAGCGGTATATAAGTGTAAGTGCTATTGCTATCAGTTTGAGGTTATATCCCCTGTTCTTGATCTTTTTAAATACTGAAAATACTGCCTTCTAGAACCTTATTCACAACCTTAATATACTTAAAGGTTTCAATCATGTTACCCCTTCCCCTTTCTGTCCTCCAGGTTGTACATATTCAGTGATTAATACCATGTATTACTGTACATATTCAGTGATTAATATGTTTCGTCTTGATGACACAAAAGGGAAGCGCGATGCTCTCCAATTATGCCCTAGAAGCTATTGGTAGAAAACCCTTTTCTGATTAGCAACTACTTGTACCAAGGATATCTGATTTACCTGGTTAGTTCTACTTCCACTCTTGCTAGGTGGATCATGGAAAGACTTCTCCTGACCTTGCAGAAACAGACAGAATCTAACTCAGGGTCAGGAACAAGCTATTTGTATATTGCTGTGGTCTACTAGCACTCCAAAACTCAATGGCAAAAAGGTTGAAATTGGTTCTGTTAGGAAATGATAATTACCTAACTTGTTGGGTTGGCAATATATAAACCCTCAATATAGTGTAAGACTGTATTGCTGTATTGCATCATACTGTGTCCTGATTGGTTAGCTCTGTAGCCAATGTCCTTAAAAGGTAGCTTGAAACATGGTTTGTTTCTCTCTGCTGACCATTATTGCTCTTTGCTGATATTTACTGCTCTTTGCTGTGTTTGCTACTGTTTGCAACCATTTATTGTGTATGACTACAACGACTGGTAAGAAGACTTTGTTATTGGAATATCCCTGGACTATTGTTTTACTATCTACTGCTTTATCTGTGTATGACCTGGACTGTTTATTGGACTGTGGCTTATTACTACTTCCTAAAAAGTAAACACAACTCAGTGTATCTGTGTGTTGGCTGTTTATTCGCAACTGCTCTCAGTTGCTTTCATATGCACATCCTTGCTACTCTAGGGTTGCTCTGCCAATTCCTTAACAGGTTCCATCTTGGTTTAGAGGTAAAGTGGAGGTTTAAGAGTTGGAACAGAAGTGGTTTGCCTTCTAACCTTCACCCTCTTCAAAAACATCTATGACCCTTAAGCGAGTCATTAGTTGGCCTTCTTTGCTCATCCAAAAGTTGTGAGCCTCTAACTTCTTGGGAGATGTCTACCAGCAGTCTAACTAATGAAGGCTATTTGGAAAGCAGAACTTGCCTTGCATTTATGGTTGGCAGGGATTCCTAAGAGAGACACAACAGTTCTATTTGGGCAGGAATCGAAAGATTTGCACAACTGAACGTTGCAAAACTCCAAATCTCATTTATGTTAACACCCACCATAGTGACAACACTATTACTAGTTGCATATACTGAACCAGAAAGTTAAAAATATACGACTCTTAGGAGCACCACTGTCTCCCGTTATTTTTGATTCAAATTATTTGTATCTGAGTAAAAATCTATTTCATATTTTACCGTCCATTCCCATCCACCTCATGTCAGCGCAAAGGATCAGGACTATAGTTAAATTGCAGTCTGAAGAATTATTGCACAAGCCTATACACAAGAATTTAATCAACTAAAGTTCAACATTAAACTGGCGCCAGATAAAGGTCAATGGAATTCATTGGACTTACATTGTTTGTGGGAATGTAATGATTCTAAGCTGATGACGTGCTTAACTCTGCCCTCCTAACTCTGCCTGCTCTTCACATCAGTTGCTTTGCACCTCTCTGTTGTGGCCCGTCAGCGGCCTGTGCAGATTGTAGCTGATTCTGACAACGAGGAGGCTGGTGTGGTGCTGCGCCAGCAGTCTGTGCAGCTAGCGCTCGAGTCGGACAGTGAGGAGGCTGGAGAGGATGTGGTGCCAGAGGCAGGGATTCAGCCAGGGCCTTCCAAACCTCCAGAAGCTCCTTTAAGTGAAGAGGATGAAGAGGAGGAGCCGGGTGTGCAGAGCTGCCAAAAGGCAGGAGTGGCTCCTCAGGAGGAGGTCTCCTCGAGAGTAAGGCCTGGGGCTAATTGGCCACTCCCTTAGCCTATTTAAGGAGGAATGCCGCTTGCAGCAAGTTGTAGGGAACAACTTTAGTTCACTCTACTTCGCGTCTGGATTCTCTGCAAAATTGTTTCTGGGCTTTCTGCCAACTCTAGTAAGACTCTGATTTACCTTATCTTAGAATTCTGGTAGGCTGTTAAGACAGTTTATTAACAGCCTTTGGTTGATAAAGACTGAGTTATTTGAGTAAAATAAGCTTTGTATAGAGTGTGTGTGTGCTGCGTTCTTTGGGTCCGTAGCTGGGCGAGAACACTATCCTAAACGATAACATTTCTTCAACATGATGACTCTCCCCAGTAACTGCTTTATTAAAAAGTACAAGTTTGGTAAGCCCCTCCCCCTCCCCCTCGGAGAGTCACAAATAATTTATGACTAAATAAATTGGTCATTATGTTTAGAAATGCCATTGATCAAAAGCAACCATGCCTCCTCACCTTGCCCCTTTCTGCCTTCCCATCAAGTAAATGCATTTTAATTGGAATTTACGGAAAATCTTTCTGGAGAGGGGGAAAAGAAAGAGGTCGGAGGCAGCTAAAGGTTTCCGTCCCATTTTAACTGAAGGAGTCAGGAAGATTAATGAATGAGCCAAGGTACCTACAGATGTCACAGAAGGTGGTGATGATATGCCAGGATGTTTACAACGTTGTCAAGAAGGAGCATTTTTTAACGATTAATATCAGTGCCTCCTCCTCCTCCGCTTCCCAAACAATTATCCTGAACAATTTTAGGGCACGGGGGAAAAAAAACAAACAAACCACAATTGGTTTTAAATCTTCTTGCTACAATGAGGAAATCACAGAATGGCTTCAATCACAGGAGATCTAGCATCCCGGGAGGTTAGCAGGCCAACTGGCTTTCAACTTCCAGATATCCCATAATTATACTGCATGGTTCCTTTCTCCTATATAAGCAAAAAAGTATAATTTCTAAGACCTTGGTTCAACTGCCAGACAGTGTCGGCTGGTGACCCCCAGGGGGAGAGCCTTCTCTGTGGCGGCGCCCGCCCTCTGGAACAACCTCCCCCCAGAGATATGTACAATA